TTTTTTCTCCCTAATCATGTGTTTAAATAATAATATGACAGTTTATAAATAACGTTCTGTTTTGTATTTTATATGAAATTCCATTCGTTTTCTTGTCTTTCTCTTTCAGGCATTTTGTGTTGTAACTTTTAAACTGTTATTTCTGAGATATTTTGTTTGTATCATGTATTATACAGTTGTTTGAAATAAATATCGTTGTAATAGATGTAATTTTTGTCTAAATAAATAAATCTTAACTCATTATTGTTTCATCATTTGCGTGTTTTACCTGTGTAATAGTTGTTGAATGCATTTAAAACAAAGTAAAATAAATAAAAGTTAAATGTGTGACTTTGGATCGAACTTGATCAGTGTAATAAATAGTTAAATGTATTTGAAACAAAGCAAAATAAATTGCAATTTAAAATGTGTGACCTTGGATCGCTCTAGATCAGTATTCATTTTTATTCTCGGAACTGAAGTGATTGCAGCGCCTTCTCACGGGGGATAACTGAACTACTTAGTTCACCGATTTGCAGCCAGGGGCCTGCGACATTGACGTCTCCAGTGACAAACCGTCGAACTATTGAAGTTCAAGAGCGTACCGCTAGATGGCGCTATAATCGTTTAGGTTTTGAGCCAAATACGAGGGTTAGTCAGAAAGTAATGGAAAAAGATCCGATGCAACTTATGCTCTCCTAATACAAATGTTGAAATTTATGAAAATTTTGGGTTTTGAGCCAAATACGAGGGTCGGTCAGAAAGTAAAGGAAAAATCAAAAATTGTATTATGAAATTTTGTTGTTCCATAACTTTTCGACCGGCCCTCGTATATGACACAAAACTGAAAATTTTGTTTAATCTGAAAATTTGTATTAGGAGAGCATAAGTAGCAAAAGGTCTTTTTAAAAGTACCAATTTTTAGCGCGGGATCAACTATATGGCAGTCTTGTTTTTCGTTTTTCTACATCGTTCGACCTTGAAAGTTTAACTGTACTATTACTATCATAATTTATGGTCATTTCCAGTATTATAACTATAAATTAAATTTCTCAAAAGATGTCTTAGTGTTATTTTTAATAAGTAAAACGCTGTTTATATCAAAACGAGGTTTATTTAGCAATTTTATTATATATTGTAATTAAATAAAATAAGGTTTGTTCAATAATACATTTATTGTTGCAAATTAATAGCATTTATAATAAACACAACGTATGAACAT